CAATCAGCTGTGAATTCCAGTGACAGCCCAGGTAACAACCGCTGACAGTCTAATAAAACAATGCTCTAATGATCAATTGAGCAACATTTTTATGGTGCACAATACTGCTATCAACCCAGCAAACTCACCAATAGTTCAAATCAGTTGTTTCAAAGATTTGGGTGACTTTTCAGGATGAAATTATCAGCAAGACGCCAACAGCCAGCCACAATCACAGTGGAACAGGTGATGATGTTCAAACTGCGCTGGAGGCGGGGCTTTAAATAAGAACAGTTTGGGGCAACACAGGAAGTGGGCCCGCAACAATAAAAGTCTTTACTAATTGACTAAATGCGGGTTACATAAACATATATGAAAACTCACTAAAGTACATCAACCTTATTGGGCTGATGTACTGACAATTTTGAACATGTCAGTCATGGATGCAGTTTATGAATTTTAACGGTTTTGAAGAAGTCACAACAGAAATATCTCAATAGCGCCCTCTGGCAACTTTCACAACATCATCCTTATTTAGCTTGTTTTATGGCAGAGTTATGTAATTTGATACACTTATAGAATTTCACAAGAAACACAAAAAAGCTTTCTTGCATCCATGCTCTACAACAAACAGGAAGCCAGCTATTGAACTTGTGATTTTTTTTTACCCCATTTTGGCCATTTGTGGCTTTTGAATTTGATCAAAATCCTCTTACAGTTTTCGATCTTGAAATATAGCAAGATTTTTTTGGCCATGACTGAACTTGTAGGACAACACCACTATATGAATGAAAATGTTTAATGTGCAGAAAGAAATTTTGTACAACAATCATTTTTTGTGACCAAGTGAGCATAGAAGAATTTAACTTCACCTTAATTGCCTCTTAACTTCACAGGAAGATTGTATCATAGCCTGTCCACCTTCTCTCAACAATCAGCCCACCTACTGAACTCTCATTTAAACACTGGCCAGTGCAGCATGAATTCTAACAAGAAGAATAAACCTTCCTCTTTAATTCAGTGGCAGTACTTTTCTCTGGTGTTCATCACTGCTTATTTCCTTATTGAACTGATGTATATGCATGAGGAAGCGCTGCATCAACCTCAGTGGCAGAATTTCCCATAGAGGAGTAAGGTCTGATATGACAGGTAACCCATCACATTTGTATTCATGAGCAGTTAAATGAATGAACTGATGAATAAATGCATAACAAGAATCTGCTAAAATGTTGCGTAAATGTCACAGAATGTGTGCTCCTCTAAAGCTTTGAGATTTTAATTTGAGAAAGAAGGAGTGGGCTGATTGGTTGTGGGAGGGTATAACACAATTAATTCAATGGAGAAAAGAGCTTCTTAGCTTATTGCTTGTCAATAATGTAGAATTAGTTGGATTGGAAAGGTGTTTGTTGAATGCAGAGAGCACTAAAGTGCCTTTCAATCAGACTTCTACCGGATCCCGCCTGCAGTCTGCTGTCTGGAGAACAGCTTGATTTGTGCACAACACAGTCTGCTATTCAGTGTGTTAACTTCCTATTTAGTCCTTTGTGTCTGCTAAGATGGAGACATAAGGACTGTGTGGAACATCCAAAAGCAATCTGCTTTAACAAGATGGCTCAGTTTGTATACAAGCTTATCGTCAAGCCAGACAGCAGGAGCAGTGTTTGACTCTTATTATTCATGATACAAGATCCCTTTGATCTCCATGCTGCCAAGCTGCACAATTCTGTCTAACCTTCTTGCAGCAATTCCTCCCTTGTGCATCAATAGCTACAGAGCACCAGCTTTAAGGGTGTTTGTGATTACAATAAGAAAACAAGTAATTCAGTATTTATTTTATGTTTATTGTAATAATAATAATTAATTAACCATTCTTCAGTACTTAGAAAAAGTTGTGCAAATGTTGGTGTTAAATGTAGTAGTTGGCCGTCAGGGCCTACAAGGCGTTCTCTGCAGCCTAAACACTATCGGAATCCCTAACGTATCTACAACCTAAATTGCAATTTTTGTTCAATTAAAATGTAATAACTTACTTCCAACAGTCTATTTTTTTATAGCAACTCTCCAGGCTGTGCTGCTTCCTGTTTAAGTCTGTGTGGATTATTGATTTTCCGTCCAATCAGATTTCAGTATCTATGTGTTGCCAGGGCCAGTCTAATCTGCCCATGGCCTTCAGAATTGATAGAGGAGGTCTACATTCAGTAATCTATTTAGCGGATACTGAAAGCTAATTGGTTCTTTTAACCAATTAGCTTTCAACACCTGTTCAAAGGCCTACAGTGATCTGATTGGAAGGTCAGAGCGAATCAACAACCCCAAAATTTTACTAGAAAAGCACATGAAGAACACAATGCTAGATTTCCATAATAAGGTCTTAGATGTTGTCTCTGTGTTCATTTGGACTCAGCACAGTTAGTCAGTATCTACGTATGTGGTCACTCAGGACACATTTAAATACCAGATCTGAATAATGCGTTTAGAGCAGGAGGTTCAATACTGATGTTGATGTTAATACATTAACATCAACATCAGTTGATGTCAATACATTTGTTATACTAGCCTTATACATCTGCTTTAACAAGATGTATAGGTAACACTTTATTTGAAGGGGTGTGCATAAGACTGACATGACACTGTCATAAACATGACATAACACCTGTCATGAACATAAAGAAGTCTTTATGAATGTTTATGACGGATGTCATGAAGTGTCATTTGGTAAATAATGACACTTTTAATGTAAAGTTGCTCTAAAACACGTGTCAAACTCAAGGCCCGCGGGCCAAATGTGGCCCGTGTATCATTTTATGTGGCCCCCCCAGCATTTTATAGGCCCATGATTGACTTAAAATTGTTTTTTAGCACGAATTGACTACAAACTACATCTCCCATAATGCATTCCGATTGTTACCAGCCAACAATTATGGCTTCTCGCCACTAGAGAGCAGCAGGTCACCTCAAGCTGCTTATTGATTTTACCAGCGAATAAAACTGAGACATCGACAAGCTAACATCAAAACGTCCAAGAAAAGAAAAATCGATTTACAAGTAAGACTGTGAATGAAGATGTGTGTGAGTTGGTGTCAGGGCGGCAGGTGGCGCTAGACTTTTTGTTATCCATTATCTTGACCGATAACATAAAAAAATCGGTCATGTACTATTTTTATCCGTGAAATTACAATCATATTAACATCGGCTATTTAGNGTGCTTGGGCAATGTATAAATTTGTCATAATACAAATATGAAACAAAGGGTTGTGGCAAGTACATGGTAATATACAGCATATACTACCATGCATATGGTATGTGTATACCAAGTATATGGTAATTTTGCTGAAAAGCATACACAGTGTGCGTAGAACGCCTATCAAAAGCATTCAATCCCTGAATGTTTTGCCCTTGATGATAAACAAAATTTGGCCATTTTAACAAAGACGGTGCATTTGGCAAATCTTCCAATTGTCCTTTAGTCCAGTTCAGGAGTCCAGCAGCAAGTCTTTAAAATTAGACCTAAAACCAACTATTCACAAAGGAGCTAAAGTCACTATTTGGTGGTGAATGCCTTAAGGCTTTCCTTTAGACGCATGAAGACGTCATGTGTAGTTTATCAAGGGTTAGTGGATACGGTTTCAGAAGGAGTCGCCCAATAATCTTCAGATTCTTCTCTGTGGGCAGGGATAAAATGATGTCATCAAACTACCACACCAATGTGTGTAGCAATGATCACTGATGATGCCCAAAAAAAAAAAAAAACACAAAAACAGTGCAGATCGGATGATCCGTACAGCTCTATATATAGAGACATAGCCGCTGAAATAATTTAGGGATGCACTGGAGTCAAACGCCAAAATAATTCTATTGGCCCTTTCAGAGGTTAACAAAGGTCATTTATATCCAGTTTGGTGTAAATTGAATGAGGCATATGTGATTTAGAGCCAACAGTATGGAAATGGCAAGGGATTGGAATTCGCCATCGTACTACACCCAACATGGTCCAGACACGCAGAACTACACTGGATCTGCTAATGGAAAATGAATCTCGACAGAAAAATGAATATTTCTATCAAGCCAAATCTTGTTATTACTGTTGACTAGTAAAAACAACAAAATGGTAAAACATCTAAGGGGGTGAATACCTTCTATAGGCACTGTGTTTACCGTTTTGCTAAAATGATAACGAGAAAAAAAAAAGTGGGGCTACTTGAACAATATTAGTCTAAATCTGTAGAACGTTATTGGCACATCACACACCAATATCTGCATGTCCATTAATCATAAAATTGCACAAATTGAAATTAAGAGAATACATTTTCTTAATTAAAACCTGACCAATTTTGAAATAACCAAATTGGTCATCCTAGAGCAAAAAAGTTTTTGCTCTAAGATGAGGTGTTTTTTTTTTTTTGTTTTGTTTTTTTTGTTTGGATGCATCGAAATAGATGTATTGAGCAAAACTGCACTTTTTTCACATCAACAGCCAGATTTCACTACTGGCGAAAACGAAGACGACAGGAAATGGTACAGAGATGATGGTTTGTTTTTGTTTTTCCCGGACAAAAGTGCAGCTGGTTCCACCAGAGCTTTCACAGCATCACACACATAAAAAGTTGTGCGTCATTTAAGTGAGTCCATCTAGCTCTTCTGTAAAATTGTTGACTATACTTTCCCCAAAACGACACATTCATAGCCGTTCCCAAGTATAAGGCGACTGTCGCTCCAACACCTGAATAAAACGCCGACATCTCTTCTGATTGCCAATAGATGAGCGCTATTATCATGGCTGAATTATGAATAGTTTATGTCACCGTTTACATCTGTCGCCACCATGATTTTTTATTTTATTTCTTATTTAATAGAAACATGACATTGGCAAATTGTGTTCTTACAATCTTAGTAGAATATAGGCAAAGATTTGCACACATTTATAATGGAAACACAGCTACTGTCCCCTTCACAGAAATAGGCCATGCAGTGTGCTGACCTGTGTTATCAATCTTTAAGTGAATCAAAAGCATAAAGGATACATTTCTTCAAAGTAGTCGATGTGTGGAGGCTGCAGTATGTCCAAAGCAGAAAGTACCTGTGGACACACAATGCTTAAGTCATGGTTATGACTAGTTTTTTTGTTTGCTTCTTCCAGTGGTTGTCTGGAATCACCTGAAAATGTCTGGCTGTAAAATTTAAGACAAATGTGCACTTACATTTTCATGTTTGAAGAAGCACAACATCTTCAGTTCCCGAAAGACCCTTTTGCAGGAAACAAGATTCTGGAAGACATTGGGCATCTTTTTGAGAGCCACTCGCTTTCCGTCTCTGGGATCCGTCACCGACCTTAAAGCAGAGGATGTATAACATTAGACAGACGGTTATCAGGAGAACTATCCATTGTTCATAAATTTAAAAAAAACATTTATCCTGAACATGTTGATTTCTTAAGTCCTCTATGAGGAGCCCCACCTCTCCACAGTGTGAAGACCCAGAAATAGATCCAACTATCATTGCAAATGCGCAGCAGAATTTTTGATGTTCTTACTGAAATAATTAAGATACAATAACAACAGTGTTTTTATTGTGCTTTCAGGAAGAGCGCATCACTATGTGACTGGACAGAATAATTGAATCCAGAGATCAATTCAGAACAAAGCAGGTGTAAGTATGACTCTACTAGGATCACACAAGGCTGCTCCGATACGCTCTTCTGAGTCTTAGATATGATGCAGTGAATAAAAATTAAAAAAATTCTTGGTGTTCACCCAATACAATTACTGTAATTTCCGCACTATAAGGCGCACCTTCAATGAATGGCCTATTTTAAAACTTTTGTCATATATAAGGTGCACCGCATTATAAGGCGCATAGAATAGACGCTACAGTTACGGTTGCCAATCTACGTATTCTACAAATGTGGATGTGTAATAAAAAAAGACCGGTCCCCGAGTACATTATATAGTAGGCTGCCCCAGTCATTGTTTCACTCACGGTGTTGGTGTTGCGATATTGTGCCCAACTGCTTTCTGGGTAACACATACCAACCGACACGCTTCCCCTCCCTCCCCCCGGCTTTAAATGTATAGGGGCTGGTCCCTTGGTAACCCATAGACATGCGGTAACCCTAGTCGAAGCACCCCGGATGAATGTCTAACGCCACTTTGTTGACATAAAGAATGTCAACGAGACAGTCCGGCTCCGGTCGGCGAGGAAAGCCTTCCGCGACTGGGCCGGGGCGTGGCCAGACGATGGTCACCCTTCTCCGTTCGCGCACAGAATGTTTGTGGAGAACGTGGTGCTAAATGACCTGATTCTAGATGGTCAGATAGGTCAGTCAAACTTTATTAACAAACCAACGTTCTGACAACTATCCCAGCAAGCACCACGCGCTTCTTCTTCTACCGGCGAAAATTAAGTCGGCAACTGCTTACCGTAGTTGCTAGGCCTGTTGTGGTTGAATATTGGTCCATATATAAGGTGCACCGGATTATAAGGCGCACCGTCGCCTTTTGAGGAAGTTGAAGGGTTTTAGGTGCGCCTTATAGTGCGGAAAATACGGTATGTTATTCTTCAATAGATAGCAGCTCTTCTTGGAAGGGAGCTTGTTTGTTGGTTTTGTACACCCTGATGTCATAGACATTCTCTCATTCTACACTACGTCTGTGTTACTTCCCATTTTTCTATTATGGGCTACTGCACCATGCCTCAGATGTCCACACGCCATTTTGTCAAAGTCTCAAGTCTTCGCTCTCAACTGGGAGAAGGTGAGGGGAGGAAGGTTAAAAACCAAATTAAAGATTGTGAGCGTACAAAGCCCTGCAGTCAGTCTCACATAACCACCCAACCTGCAGCATACCGCCAACCAAGAGTCAGAGCAGAGGAGACCCATTCCACTCCATGTCCACATTGCAAATAAATCACACATTTGTACAGCTGAGTAAAAATATGTTTGCTGCAGCCATGCCCACTATCCCCAACTCCTAACCAGCCACTGAGTGGGGCTGTGTGTCGGAGAGAGATAGTTTTAAACCCAACTGGTTTTGAGTGATGAAAAGCGTAAAGCTGTACCTCCTTAAATAAGAGGAGAATTTGTCTGTTTAGGTAGTGTTTGACCAAGGGAGGCCAGCACCAAGATGGTTTTTAGGCACTGCAAAAATCCAAAACTACATGAATTTAATGAATTTACACAAAAATGTCAATATTTGCACAGAAACATAAACATACGTTTGTTAATTGTGAAAGTGAGGTCGCTGTGGGATAGACGGAGAGATGGAGCTTTGACATAGTTGTTTAAAAAAAATAAATGTGGTTCGCATGGACAAATGGAAACTTGAAAGCAGCATTCTGAAATTTATCAATTCAGTCTGATATGATCAATTCAGTTCATTTATATAGAGCCAATAATGTTATGAACAAAGTTTCCACAAGGATTATCGAGGACGCTTCATCACAATTTACAACTCGGCCAACATCTTCACATCCCAAAAATTCTGCAGGAAAATGAGTCTAGATCTGAAGAACCTTTTGTTAAACACCCAGGACAATCCAGAAAGAAAGACGAGGAAGGAGCTGATGAATGATGCGCTCCCTGAGGGGGGTGCTGAAAAGGTGGAAAATAAAGCAGACAAAGTTACCTCACGTTGCCTGCATTGCAAAATAAAAAAAGTTTGTACAGCTGCTTCAAGTTGTGCCTCAGAGCCTGTGTTAGCTTGGCGCATATGTCTGTGTTTCGATAGTC